GGCAATTCGTACACTAGAGCAAGGCACAGGCATATGCGTAGAGTATAGGTCATGGGCGCAGAGAGGGGGCAGAGTAACTGAGGCTGACCTGTAACAAGGGGCATTTGGGCTGAGGGCAGAGGAGGTGAGAGAGTAATGCCCGGACATCTGCGGCAAGAGCATCGGAGGCCCCTTAGAGAGGACCCCAAAGGCCACGGCCTGCAGGTGCCTGCCTCGCATGCTGGAGCAGGTGACAGGGACGTGCAGATGCAGGGTCAGCGCGGCAGCAGGGCCAGAGCATGTGGGACCTGGGGTCACTGTGCGGATTTGGGCCCTTATTCCGAGTGGGATGGGGCTGGCTTGGCGAGAACCGAGTGAAGGAGCTCTACGCCTGACTGTGTTTAAGGGAATGTCGGGAGGGGTGGGGCTGGCAGGAACCTCGGTTAGTTGGTCCCCAGAGTCAGCCGCTGGCCCCTGGCCAACTGTGGTGCCACCCAGTCACACACAGGCTTTGCTCTCACTGACCTCTGACAGCCACTCTGGCCTGAGCCCCGGGTACTGTCCTGACCCGCAGGGTTCTGTGGTGGAGTTCGGCTCCCTGCGCGCCAGGGTCTCCGTTCTGAAGTCTCGCTGCGTGTTGAACTGCTTTGTACCCATGGCGCTCCCTCCCTGCTTTTAAAGGTTTTGGGTTCCCCATGCCTTCTAATAATTCAAGAATTTTATAGTTGAAACCAATGCTTAAGAGAAATATAATGCAAGCCTCAAACAGAAGCCGCATATGCAATTTTAAATTTTGTTAGCCACGTTGAAAAAAAGTAAAAAGCAAGTAATGTCAATTTTAATAATATAGCTTATTTAACTCAATATATGGTCAAAATTATCATTTGAACATCATATGAATTAGTATCTCAAGATTAATAATATTCACATTATTAATGAGATATTTTACGTTCTTTTTTTCCCCTTCTAAATCTTCAAAATTGTGCTATACACTCACTTCACATCTCAGTTAGGAGGAGCCACATTCCCACTGCCCCGTGGCCTCCTGTGGCTGGTGGTGCCATATTGGACAGTACAGGTGTAAACTCTGCCCATTTTCAAGGTCTAGCCGTAGACCCATTCCGTACCCAGTCCCACGGCCAGAATGGAAACTATTGTGGTTGAAGGGATGGTGAACAATATTCCTGCTAAATGACCTGTTTCCCTTTAGCTCTCAATACTTGTAAGAAAACTGCGTTCCTTTCTATCATGAAGTATTCTTTCAAGTTGTCCTTGAGTAGCAGTACCTAATCGTAAAAGCCTTGAGTGATGTTTTACATTAGGGTTCTAAAGAGTATTTGGTTTAAAAAATATGAAAGCAAGAAAGCCATCCTTCTTAAAAGTCAGCACAACTTATTTTCAGCTTAAATATAGAAATGGTCATTTGGGAATTGTCATACTGGGAACAGCCTTAAAATTTAAAGTATAGTAGAGAAACTCCCATACATCTACCTGTAGTTAAGATGTTAGCTGCTGTTTTTATTACGATCTATGAATGTCCTCAGTGTTTGTAAATATGAAATGCATTCAGAAATAGATGGATAGATTATCCAACAAACATGAGACTGGCTCCCCCCACACACATATAACACACAACCTAATTCCCATGTTTTGCCTGTACCTTTCTGATATATTTTTCTATCTATGTACATTTTTGCTATTATATAGTAGTAGAATATCATTGTAACTTTATTTGAGGAGGCTTCATGATAATTTTTGTCCTCATATATTAGAATATATTAATATATGACCTATGGTTCATTGCTCATTAAGACTTCTCTTTTATTTCTATTTATTATGCTTCTTCATGAAAAGAGTTTCATGAACTCAATTAAATGCCCCCTTAAGTTATTATGTGTATATCTTTTTTTCTCCAACTCAAAAATCAACTCTTTGGGCACAGACACCTGTCATGTCTATTTCATCTTTATATCCCATAAAGCAGTCAGCCCAGAGTAGAACATACAGTACATTTTCACTGTGAGTTGAATGTATCAGTGCCTTGCAGATTCCCATAGCTTGGCTTTGGTACTCAGAGTCATACAGCAGTTCACCTCTAACATTTCTTTTACACAACCTGGGAAATGAAGTTTGGACAATATGAAAATGTTCCATATCCTCCTAATCTAACTTGGAATATAATTTTCTTGATATAACTTATTAGAAAGGTAAAATGCTATGAGTCATTTTTTCTTCTTTTCATTCTCCCTGATTCATTCAGGAAACAGCTTTATTCACTTTGCAGAATTAAAATGTTGTGAATACCTATTGAAATTATAAACACACGAGAAAATATTTAACCTTACAAGCGAAAAAGAAGTTTAAAAATTGAACAGTAAGCTCTCATTTGTGCTTACTAAAAAAGGCAAAAAAAAATGATTAAAATTGTGATATTCAGTGCTGATAGAGTTGTACAGATTTGTGAAAAAGTGTGGAGTGGATGCCTACAAAAGCAAATAAAACTCAGAACCCTTTTCAAAAGCAATTTAGAAATACACAGTTACTGCCATATAATGTTTCCATTGACTAATAAAACAAATTCAGGGAATTTATCATAATTAATTCATTTGACAGAAAAATATGAGTATGTTTACAGAAGTGTATATTTAATATATCTTCAATAGCAAAAATTGGAAACAACCGGAATATCCGACAATGTGGAGCTGATTAAAAGCATGATCACACCTGACTTTGATAGAGGATAAACTACTCACAAGTTAATCATCAATACTATGCGAAAACAAATGTGTGGTGTAAAGATAATAAAAAATCAAACCATGCAATATGCTTACAGTTGCTTGAAAATATGTAAGCTAAGTAACAAAGACTAGGAGACAGGACAAAGTGAAAACAATTATTATAGAGTGATGGGATTATGGGTGCAGTGTTTTGGTTGCCTTTTCATGTTAAAGATATGTAAAATCAAAGAAAAAAAGAGATCAAGTTTTAGTCCCCTGATGTTCATATATTAAGAAGAATGTTATGCAGATACCTAAGCAACGTTTCTCTTCCTCGATTCAAAATCTCAGCATGAATTTTGTCCAGTTCCAGGGGCTTAACCATTTTTTTTAAAATAACTCTGGCTACCATGGTTATTCTTTGAAAGTCTAAACAAAGTTTGTATTGTTCCCTGGCAGCATCTCTTATTTGCATTAAACCATGAGTTATGATATTAATGCATCCTGTTGTGGATTCTTTGAAGAAAGCAGACTCGATAGCCCTTTTTCTGGTTGCATAGTAAATGATAGTCCTCTTTCAGGGGTATTCTATTTCCAAGTTCTTATCCTTTGTTATGTACAAATGGCCTAGCAAAATATTCCCATAATGGCCACTATTATTCTAAGGCAACATTTTTGTCATTTTACCAAGGAAAGTGCAAGAGTTACAATTATAATGTGACTTTATACAGGAAGCAGAATTTCTTCCAGGAGGTTAAGACTTTAGCAATTATAATAATCCAGTATAATAATGAAACATTTTTGCTCTTCTAGAAAGACACCATAAGCCTCACATTGCTTAGTTTATCTGGTAGGTGTGCAAAAATCATCTTTACGTAAGTTATATTCAATTTAGGTTTCTATACATTCTGAAAGGTCATTTATAAATGGGATGTATAAACCAAATGATGATAAGGATAGAAATATTCATCTACTCTCTCACAATTTCTAGATACATTCCAGTGTAACATGTAATGTGTTAAGAGCATGACCTCTTAAGTTAGATCATGAGAGTTCAAATTGTAACTATAGTTGTACAAACCTGGACTAATTACTTAGCTTCTGTATGCCTTAGTTTCTTCACCTGCTAAATAAGGATAAAAATAGTATTTACCTCATAGAAGTTTGTGAGAATTGAGTTAATGAATGTAAAGATTCTGGCACTTAAGAAATGTTACTATGATTATTAATGTACATGTTTTTGAAGCTGGAAACACAGATATAAAAATGACACAATTCTTGCTTTCCGGGTGACTTAGAAAACATTCTTAAAAATCAATTAAGTTTGCAGTGAACCTTAAACTACTGTAAAAAGTAAAGTTTTGTTTTTTTTTTAAATCAACTAAGGAGACACTTTACTACTCTCAACAGAAAGAAGAAAGTCGCCCGGTAGCTGGGGCACACAGTAAAGGGCTTTGGGGATGTCTTAAATGGAAGTGGAATTCTGTTTGCTCTAAGTCTGAGCCACCTGGAAGCACGAAGGGCCAGGTGTCTTTCCTTAGCTTCTGGACACTGCAACGGGTCTTTTCCTCTTTGGAAAACAATTGCTGAATCAAAATCTGGAAAGACTAGTATACATCACCATCTTTCTGAAATGGGAAATTTTTCTAGCCTAATAGCCATCATCTTTTGCCCAAAAGCCGATAGATCCTTGTTCAGTATGATAATGAGAGCCGTTAAGTCTGAATGTTTATTCTAATTATTTTCACAATGAAATTGGAAAGAGAAACCACAGCCGTTGCTACTTTTTATTTTGGTGTCAAATGTGTCTAAATGAATTAAGGTGTCTAAATGAATACACAGATGGGTGTATTCTTCAAAATTTAGATGTGTAAATGTTCGTGTGATGAAGTCTAAGATGAAAATAGAATGATTTAGTTTTTATTTTCCTGAGCTGATGAATCACTTAAAAGTTCCCCGCCAAGAGAGTCTTATATTTTCAGATGTCTTTACTCATTCAACAAATATTTATTTCATGCCTACGCTGTGCCCAGCACCATGCTAGATGTTAATTTCTACTCATAAATTGCTTCAGCTTTCTTAATGATGAAAAGACTAAACAAAGGAAATTAACCTTGTTATATCCTTGCTCCTTGCACCTAGAATTTTGGACCATACAAGCTAACTTAAATTTACACTACTGGTTACTTATTCTCTATCTACATATAGAGCATGGCTCTATAAGAATGGCTATCTCCTCTAATGATCTATATAATGTATTGATTTTGTCCATTTTACTTAGTAGTATCAATTTTTTATTTTGAGGGTGAACCCGGGCTACCAGGAGCAGTAGGACAGAATGGACTACCGGGGCCAAAGGTTAGTACAAATAAAGCCAAGCAAAATCATTTGACACTTGAATGTCCACGAAATCGTAAGCTGTGACAATATTTTAATAGCCCGCTTGTTGTACTAGAATGGATTTTTTTGTCAATAGTATAATATGCGACAGTAGAACTTTGTGACTAATGAATAAATTATGTTGGTGATTCTCATTAGCATTAAAATGCAGAAAAACAAATAGACTGTCTAAAATCTTTATTCTGGGATACCTAAATAACATAAGAAAGCCCATAAGACTATTGTCATTTTACCACTTAATGAGCATATAAAAACGTAGATCATGTCCATACTGCCTAAAATTTGCATATCTAGAAGACTAACTAGAGAAGATGTTCATAGTGCCACTGTGGCTTTTCCTCAAGATTTTGCCACCTCCAACCCACTATAGCCAGTTAATCAGATGAAGAGCAGAATAAAGATGTTTAAAAATGGATGTAATCTGAATTACTAAATAAGGAAAAAATGTAATGAGGATTTTTTTGCATTGCAAGTTTTCTTTGTTTCTTGAAGAACAAATGAATCTGTTAAATATAAAAAGATTGGTGACAGTTTAGTTTAAACCAAACAGGCAGACAAATCCCAAATCCTTTGATGAGAGAGCATCCCTTGAAGTACAAAACTAATGTCTAATCCCATCAGCTGTGCTCGTGTGTATCCGCACCCACAGATGCCTGTCAGCTGATTTTGCAGATCACATTGCTATGGACAGCCTCCGAGGACCGACCTGAAATTTATAGACCTATCCTTTGTCCTGCAAAAGAGGAAAGAAAATATTCCTTCTGGGCCTATAGCCGTTTTCCTGTCTTCTTCCCTTTCTTGCTCCATGCTAAAAAGCCAAATGATAGGAGTTTAATGCTTAATGCATGTTCACAGTGCTATTCTTGTGTTGCCTAGCGACCATCAGGATGGATGTCGAGCAGTGAAGATGACCAGACATTCAGAAACCAAAGGGTCAGGTTGAGTTCCAGGGAATGAAAAGAGTCTTGCCTCCAAACTGACTTCTGCAATAGGTTATAATTTTTTTCAAAAAACCCAACAACAATTGTCTTATTTCATTTTTTTTAAAAAGCAGTCTGATCTCAAGGCAATACTTACTCAAGCCTTTCATAGGGAAATATTATCATAATGTGTATAATTTACTTGAGAGCTCTCTCACTTTTATCCTTTCCTGGGTAAAGTGAAAATGAGCTTCTCTTCAGAGCACCATTTTGCATTTTAGTTCTCATGCTAGCCTGGTCATCATATGGAGTAAGGACCTCTCTCCCAAACTCACTTAAACTCTGCCCCATTCTAGCGTCTTGCCTGCAGGTACCGGTGCCTCCTAAAATACGCCTGACCTGGAACTTGCCGGTTGCTAGCAGTTAAAGAGAACTCATGACACTTCGAAGGGCTTCAAGTTTAGGACTGTTTATGACATCTTAGGGGAAGACAGATTGGGGATCGACACTGAACTACACTCCAGACCCCTGAAATCACCCATGCCCCAGGGGATGTTTTGAATAAAAACCTTTGTGGAAGGACATCCTAGTCCACCTTATTGATTCTGAGTTTGGGCAGAATCAAAAGGAGTAGACTAAGGAGCTTCTCAAGACATTGGATTGCCGCACCATTGTTCTCCTGAGTGCCACAGAAGCCAGTATCTGAATGATAATCTTGAAATATGTTTCTTTAGTCCTATAAAAGCAAAGAGTTAAGATTATATTTAATATTGATATCCATACTCAATTCTCCAGGAAACTCATCATTTGTTTTCATATAAAAACTATATATAGCCCAACTAGAAAGTGTTGCACATAATTAACCTAGTATGTTCAATGTATGTTTTGTCTAATAACAAAATTAGGTGTTTTATAATTTAAGGTCACCCAGTCTCTGTTCTTTTGTTCAGGGAGAACCTGGAGAACAAGGAAAGAAGGTGAGAACGATTCTGCCTGTATTTATCTCCACCCCCCCACCCGCTGCCAAGAGATACACAACTGAATCCTATGGCTGGTGGATAAATAGGTATAGAGAGACGGATAGATGATATAGATGTAGTTATAATGACCACAGTTGTTTTTTTTTTCAAGCTGCTAATTAGTGGAAGAATAAAATAGTGTAATTCTTATATATGGACAAAAGTTTGGATAAAAAGGTTTAAAAAAATGAAGAGAAGGGGAGCAAATTTCAACATTCTATGTCAAGCTTTTATATAACTTTGAAAAATCCTCAGGCCTGCAAAATCTCTGTTCTGCCTACTTGCTAATGTCATTCCAATACTTTTCCAAGCACCCACATCTCTCTCTGCTGCTTCTTATGTCATCAGGTTAAAGGGATACAGATGTTTACCTGCAGCAATTATCTGAAAGTTGCCCACGAAGAATTCCTATAAAAACTAAAAAGAGAAACAAAAGGAGAAACAGGGTGTCGAATGTTCAATTTCCCTTAGACTCCTTTCCTTATTACTTTCAGGCCTGTCCCGATTATTTTTAGACTCTCACTGCATAACGCGATACTTACTTTTCTGATTCTCATGCGATGTATGATACTTGAATAGTGTTTGAAAGTGTGCTGTCTGAGAAGGAAACTATCAAGATACTCTGTCGTGCTCTTCATATGTGATGCAGTCTTTCTGCAAATCAATACTGTAACCTCTAATCCCAAAGGAATTTCGTCTACAGATCAAGAAGAATTCTTGATTGTACGTGTATTTTTCAGCATTGCAAAGCAAAAAAGATACAAAGGCATTTATTTAAGTGGAAGGAGGGCAAAACAGAGGGGTGGAAAAAGACAGTTTGATGAGGGGAACAGCTCAGTCAAACCCTTCCCTTCACAACCACTCTGAGCCAGTTTTCCTAATACGAGGGTTTGTTTTGTTTGTTTTTTAATAAAGAGATTTTCAAGCAATTTTTTAAAAAGCATGCAAATCAGCTGCCTGTCAAAAGTCCTTCGTAACAGATTACCAGTACATTTGTTTGGCATCCAGTCAGTTCATGGTAATTTACGTGAAATTAATTAGTCATCAGATGACTCTTTTGTGTAGAAATCAAGGAGGGAAAAGGAGAAATGCTGGCACCGCCCCAGGCATTCACCGGAGCAAGTGTCCCAGGCTCCCCTGGTCTGCAGTGGTGCGTCTGTCACCACAGACAAATGCCAAGCGGGTCAACGTCATGCTTATTTGAAACAATAAAAGAAAATAAAGAGAAAACAGTGAAAGTCTCCCTCCCAACCTCCTCTCTACCTTCTCCCAGGAAACCATTATCAGTAGTTCCTGTCTTGTCTTAAAGAAATGTTTAAATAATAGAGAGGTCTTGTTGGCTGACGCCTGTAATCCTAGCACTTTGGGAGGCTGAGGTGGGAGGATTGCACGAAGCCAGGAGTTCAAGACCAACCTGGGCAACAGCAAGACATCGCCTCTACAAAAAAATTTTTAAAAAATTAGCCGGGCGTGATGGTGCACTCCTGTAGTCCCAGCTACTCGGGAAGCTGAGGCAGGAGGATCTCTTGAGTCCAGGAGTTTGAGGTTGCAGTGAGCTGTGATGGTGCCACTGCACTCCAGCCTGGGCAAGAGAGCAAGAGCCTACCTAAAAAAAAAAAAAAAAAAAAGTGATCACATTCCAGCCTATGGAACATGTGCCCAGTAATGCATTGTTTTCATTAATGGCTATCATTAACAGCTTATGATGTGCCAGATACCGTCCTAGTTGCTTTACACACAGTACATGACTTATTTCTTATAACTGCACGAAGTACCCTTACCCTTAGATTACACAGGAGAATCTTGAAGCGAAGAGAATTTCGTTTACCCAGCAGATGCTGGAGCTGGGCTCAGTCTCCCTGACTCCAAAGTCCGTGACATTTCCGCTATAACATGCTGTAAGATTTAAGTTCAAGTATTCAAAATGTAAAGAAGCAAAACATGGATACTCAATGAATGCCTTTTTTCCTAATGCATTGCTTCGTAGGGAGAAAAAGGAGATGTCACTAAAGAAATGGGCATAGGAAGTCTCAAAAATAACAACAAAAAAAAAAAGCACAAACTCCCCCAATTCATTTAAGTGTATGATTTTTTAAAAAGCTTTCTAATAAAATGTAAAACATTTATTTCATGAATGCAAACCATGTGGGCCCAGATAAATAAATATATTCAGTGCACAGGTTTTAAGGGCCGTGTATGTACTTTGAGGTCCTAGAGATTTGAGATGGGCTTGAAGACGGGGTAGAATTTATACAGACAGAAGGAAAAAGAGAGGCCAGGGGTCCGAGTGGCAGGAATGGTAGAAAGAAGGGTGCAGAGGTGGTGACGCACACGGCTTATTCAGGGAATAAGAGGAGACAGGATTGGTTCGAGAGGAGCTTTGAGCAGAGAAGAGACAGAGTTAAGGAAGCTCTAAGTGCCCAACAAACTCAGAGAAGGCAGACAGATAAATGACTGTTTTCTGTTAATATCATGAAATAGTTTAAAACTGTTTGGCCATGTTCACTGTAATAAACTTATTTTATTGATATCAGACTGCTGGTCAAGCAAAAGTACCTTAGTTCTATAGAACATTTGCAAGATATTTTAATAGGTAGTTTTTATGAAAGGAAACTTTAATGAAAAATACTATTTGCTTAATGTCACCAGTGTATTTTACGTGTATTGCTTTTTGCCCTTCTCAGGGAGATGCTGGAGAGAACGGCCCCAAAGGCGACACAGGCGAAAAGGTACGGTTTTGTGAAGCGTGGAAGGGTATGAGTATGAGCGAGAGGTCTTACTTCCTGTGTTTGGAAATGGGAGCTTTGAGAGCGGCAAGTGAGAGAGAGTGGTTTAATATGACATATAATTCTCCAAGATTAGAAAACAGTTAAATATTTGGTTTTGGTTTTTAAAAGGTGATTATCCACAAGCTCCTATCTATAAACTTAAATATTTTGAAAGTAAAATGGTATGTAAAAAATTCCAGAAAACGTGTAGCTGAGTTTCCAGTAATATGGCTTTCAGGGAATAAAAACACTTACTCGTGTGTAAATGAGACACACCCTTTATAGGCAAGATATAAAAGTGGAGTTTTTAAAGTGATTCCATTTGTCCCAGTTTTAGGAGAGAACTTGTCAGAGGATTGGGATGAGATTTACATGTTTGATTATAAGTTCATCTCACTTGATTAGAGCCTCTCACGTAGTCTTGAAAGTTTGCCTCAACTGGCAACCCACTAAATCTGGATATTTTATCAGCCTTTGTATTTTTTTTTTGGTCTTTTAAACTGTTATTAGCCCTTATATTGCAGTAGTCTTGTGGCTTGTCTTCCTGCCTCCCTCATTTTTAACCCCCGTCTGTGATTATAGCTTCTGTGTGGATTCATACTTTGCAGATGTCTCTGACATGGAAAGGATATTTTACTTTACTCGTGCTACATGTTAAGAATTGAGAAGATCTTTTAAGAAACTGGAAATAGAATAGAGTCAGATGGATTTTAATTTAAATCAAGCTAAGTAATTGAGTGATTGGAAAAAAAGAATTATTCATTTAGGCTTACAGTTGAGCATAAAACTATCCCACTTTGAAAATTATTACACTACAGATGGGTAACGGTTAGTCATAAAAACACACACACAAAATAAAAAGAAATTTATCTTGTTTCTTCTTATAAATATTAATATAAATATGGCACGGGTGGTAGGAATGAATTAATGTCACCATGTAGCAACTGTGGTTGTGTTCCAGGAGTAGTCTAGAAATTAGAGTGGACTCTCTGTCTCTCGTAGACCAGGGTTCCTCAAGCTCAGCAATATTGACATTTGGGGCCAGATAACCCTTTGTTGTGGGGTTTCAGATGTTCAGCTTCATTCTTGGCCTCTACTCATTAGATGCCTAAGCACCCCTGAGCTATAACAACCAAACATATCTCCAGAAATTGCCAAATGTTCCTTGGGAGACAGAATCGCCCCCAGTTGACTACCACTGCTGTAGACCTATTGTTTTAATCTGCCAAATTTCAGCATCATATGACATGAACCTGTTGAATGCAAATGAGCCCAATGATATTTACCCTGACTACTCTCGAAGTCAAAATTTGAAAGCTTGAATATATAAACCTGGATGTTATATTTAACTTTCTTGTTTTTACTTAAAAGCAGAGGTCAGTAAAGTGCCAGAAAATAAATATTTTAGGTTTCGTGGGCCATATGGTCTCTGTCAAAACTATTCAACTTTGTTGTTGTAGCATTAAAGCAACTATAGAGAATAGGTAAACAAATGAGTATGGCTGTGTTCCAATAAAACTTTATTTCCAGACACTAAAATTTTAATTTCATGTAATATTCGTGTGTCATGAGATATTATAGTTATTTTGATTTTTTTGACCATTGAAAAATATAAAAAACCATTCTTGGCTCATGAGTCTTGAAGGTGGCCAACTCGATTTGGCCATAATTGCTAACCTCTGCTTAAAAGAAAGGAAATACACAACACAGAGGGCAATTTCTTCTGTTGAAAAAAATTTATACCGAGTCTGAACTATGCCTATGTGGATTTATGTAAAGAATTTTATGCTTAAAAGATGTATTTTTAAAGCTTCATTTTTTGGAACATAGACCAATAATTGTTTCTTTAATCACACATTTTTTGAAATTTAATTTTATAATACTAAAGCAACTTTTTTTCTTCAAAAAGATCAAGGTCATCTCAAAGGAATACTGTTCTTATTTTATATATTAATACAAATCATTTACTATACTGACTCACACATAATAAACTCTCAATAAATATTAGCTTTTCTTACCACATGGAAATTGAAATCAACTAGATTGATTGTTTTTCTTTTTTTATCAAAAAGTTTTATTAGTCAGCTGAAATTAAGTATAAAAAATGCTTCAGTTGAAACGGAAATCATTTCTATAAACTTTCAATGGGTCTAAACAGGGAATTGTAAATAGGAATCTGTAATGTGTGTAATATGTAATCTGACCTGGAAGCCTTTACCCCAAGAATGCTGTAATTGGAATATAATTTTTGATGTGTTTTTTAAACATTTCCTGCTTCTGTCATATAATTTGTTTCCAGCATGTTGGAAACACTCTTCTCATGGCCTTTGTGTTCAGTATGTGAAACTCATTTATCATTTACCAAGTTTGAGACGTAAAATCAAAAAAATGCTTCTTTTCTGCCATTGATGTAGTAAATTACATCATTGGCTGATTCACTTTAATAGGATATTTTTCCTTTTGATCCAACTCAGTGCCTTTGGATGGTAAAGCCATCTAAGGCTTTCCAGACTGGTCATCTGGAAATGCTGTGGAACTATAAAAACCACGAGGCTGGATTTTCTCTGTGGCCAGCAACTTCGGTGCATTCCGGCCCACAACCACAGAGCACTGTAGGTTTAAGAATAACCTGCCAAAGACTGAGTTCAGTCACATGTAGAATTACTATGGAAGGGTTATGTTCTGCTGTTTGTACTGTTAATCCCACCAACAAATGTAGAAATGGATTTTTTTTATTTTTTTATTTTTTATTTTTTTTTGAGACAGGGTCTCACTCTGTTGCCCTGGGTTCAAGCAATTCTCCCACCTCAGCCTCCTGGGTAGCTTGGAGCACGCCCCCACACCCAGCTATTTTTTTTTTTTAATTCTTTGTGGAGACAGGGTCTTGCTATGTTGCCCAGGCTGGGGATTTCTTATCTGTCTCCTTCAACGTGAAAGTGGGTGTTTGTGCAGCACACTGAATGGTTTGACTACGCCATTTTACTATTCACAATTTTATCTGTTGATTCAGAGGTTCTACCTTCACTTTTTTGGCATTACATCTCTGTCTTCCTTTTTTTTTTTTTTGGCTCCCCCAGTTTCAATTTCTATGAATATGCTGCCTTTTTACTCTATATCTACATAGCATCTTTGATTTGCATCTGCTGAGCCTTGTCAGAAGCCACAGCATATTTGGAGCCACCAAACAAGTTGTCTTCTTTTCCTAAAATCACACCTGAAGGCCTGTCTCCGTGGGCACTCCCACCCCAGTCAGTGTGGGCCTTCTCTGATTAGCACACGTTTTCCCTTAGCTTGAAACATGCTTGCTGTCTGTCCTCCTTCCCAAATTCCTCACTCCCACTTCCCCGCTTTCTAATTTTATTCATTCTTCGGTTCACAAATTCACATTGTATACCTGTAACAAACCGTCACATATACCCTATGAGATATACAGCTATTATGTACCCATAATAATTAAAAATAAATGAAACTTAATATATAAGTCATTTCTCTTTGACAGCCTTTCAGTCCCCTCAGGATTGGTTAGGTCACTTGCTATATATCCCACAGCACTCTTTATAATCCCTATCCTAACCCTCGTCATGGTTCGTTGTAATTCCTTGTTTACTTGGACATCCAGCTCACCGAAAAAGAAAACAAACAAACAAAAAAAAACTGTATGGTGCCAGACTGTTCTATGCCCAGTACCAATCCTAGTTCCTAACACATAGTTAGAAGATGATAAATATTTATTGAATGAACAATCTTTTTAAAAATTTTATTTTAAACTGTTTCTTATTTTCATTAAATGCTAGAACATTTTCTCTGTACCATGCATTTGCTTATTATCATGTCTTATGTGTATATAGAGTGACACAGAATTTCTCAAACATGACAGTCTCTTCCTATCCCAGATTTCAGAAAAAAAGGAAAGAAAGAAAAACAGAATCTTTCATGCTTTTAATTGATACTATTTTTGTACTGCGTGTATTAGGAAATGATTATTGCACGTGCAGGATGAGGGCCGGAATGTAACCGCATTGCTCTCTGCTGTCTCCCCAGCTCCAGCACCGCTGCGTCCACACCTGCCACATGATTGGCACTCAATAAATATGCATTGGATGAGTTAATAAATGATAGAAATGTCACCACATTCACTTCATATATACACATACATGTAAGACATGTATTAACACATACATGTAATCATACACCAAGTGTTGTTTTGAAAATAATCACAAACAAACATAGAAACTGTGCTTGAATGAAAAAGAGTAAAGTCAAATTCATTTATCTCAAAAATCTTCTCACAGTATTTCCACACCTATGACTGATCCTGTGGAGACTTCTGTTTCCAAACCAACTGACTTATGAAGCTATGAGTCTACTTAAGATGTGGTTGGGGTCTTTCTCCCCACTTTAATCCAGTATTCATTTCGCTTTGCGAGGAAGGAGGATTATAAACAGACACTGTTTTAATCCCACTATTTGCAGCATTATCCTTTAAAATGTTTAACTTACAAATGTCTTCCAGCAGTTGCCTTGCCACTTAAAAGTTATAAAAATTCCTTGAGATTTCACAGTTCTAAATCTTGAAAAAGAAAATAAAAACTCTTAGTCGTCCATCAAATGAAACCACTCTGATTTCCACAAATAAATTGGCCTTTCAGGAAACGGTCTTTTTCTTTTCATCCACTTTCTATGAGAACTAAATCTAGTCTTTATTCTCATTAGTGGATTATCTAACCACTTTTCATTAGAACACTGAAAAAAATTTTAACTACAGTTAACACAAGCAACTTTCTTTTATTTATAAGTTTACTATAACCTGTATGTCCTGTTGTCAAAATGAAGTAAGTCAATAATTATTTTCTTATTCCCATAAAAAGAACAGCCAGTAGAATTTAGAAAGCCCAAAACCAACTTAACCTCTGGTTGCTTCAATTTACACATTAAATGGAAATAGTAATATCTGCCCTATCTCCCAGAAGTTTTATGAGTATAAATAAGATAATAGAAGGAACTTTGCCCAGTCAAAATTACTTCTAATGACTTCAAAGGTCTTACTGTGTCAAATATTGCAAACCCGACTCATTGGCGTTGATGGCTTTCAGACTTAATTTAGTAGAGACAGAATAAGTATTATTAGCCACATTTATGTCGCTTCCCATTTGACGCTCAATTGAATGTTAATGATTGGGAAGAGAAACCAATATCATTCTACAGTGAGACAGTATTTGGGGTCCTCTTCTTTATGTGTAGTCATGTTGTAATTTTTTTCCTTGGCTAATAGCAATTACAGATGTCAAAGAAACTCACATAGACATATCTGTTTCCTCAACAAGCTAATTTACTATTTCCTTCTCCTTCCTAAGCTGCCTTTTTTTTTCCTTCCTAAAGGTTTTTTCATTTTGATCCTTGACTGCTGACCTGTTTGTTCATTCATTCACCATCTATATGTTGAGCGTATATTATAGGCTGGGCACTGCGTAAAAGTAGACGCAGAATCTGCTCCCCTGCAGCTGGCTGCCTAAGGGAGGACAGACACGAACTGGGCTGGACACACAGAGTGAGCTGTGGCACACAGGGCAGAACACGATGCTACACGACAAGATGTGTGCCTGAGGGGCAGATGTCTAGGCTGGGCAGGGAAGGGTTCTTGGAGGCCCAGCCGCGTAAGCTGAGGGCAGAAGAAAGAGAAGAGGCCAGGGCTGGCACGAGGGGAGAGGATTTGAGGGAGGGGGGCAAGTGCCCCACGCACAGAGGCCCGAGGCCTGATGTCTGTCTCTAACGAAGATTGATGAGCAGTTTCTGGAATCTAGAACAGGGAAATCGACCCCCAGACCTCCTCGACTTGAGCATTTGTACAGAGGAGACAGCTGAGGAAATCCCAATATATGCCATCCTCCTGTGGCTGTTTCTATTTTCTTAACAGTCTCAAATACCCGTTTCTTTTTCCTTCTAGCATGTTCATGGGACAGATGGGGCTAAAAGGAACTTGAAAATCTAGGCCTTTTCTGGCTTCGTTTCAGAAATAAGCACCATCCCTGGCACAGTCTTTTCTCCACCAGTCCCTATCTGCGTATTTATAACATGCTTGTTTCAGAATGTCGTCACCCTCTACGAAATCTGGGTGGATTTCAGTGCCTTTTTAAAAACCAGATTCTGTCCCAAGACTTTCTGTCCGAGCTCACATGTGTCCCCCTCACCCGCAAGTCATCCATCATCCTGTAGCTTCCCGGTGACCGAGTTGCAATGAAATAAGTATAAAGCTGGAAAAACGTGCCAGTCGTAACCGTGACGGTGCTTTACCGGGAAACAAACCGATCTGCTGCGTGGCTTTTTCCAGCTCGACATCATTAACCTTTGACTTCACCTGTTGAACCTTGACTTTGCGAAGACCGAAAGGGTCAGGGGGCTCCCAGTAAATGATAGCTGATGACATTAATAAATTCCAGAAATAAAACCAAAAGTTCCAGATCCCAAAATTATAATTTATTGCTTCATAATGCATTTTTAGCACTGTCTGAAGGGAAGAGATTCATATATATATATTTATACTTTTGTATATATTTTTTCAAGAAATGTAATTTCTATATATTTTGCATTTGAAGTAAGCTCATGTTTTTAGGAAGCACATTGTTTATCTTGGAAATTGTTGGTATCTTAACAGCTGACATACTGGTACAAAGTCTTAGGGAGTGTAACCAGGGCCATCAGTCATGGGTCCCTTTGAATACCTGTGTTGGTAATGGCTTTCTGGGTGTTTGTGATGTTTCCTGTTCCCATAACTTGTGGCATAATCTCTCATGGGTTTCGTTTTAGGGTGACCCTGGATCATCTGCTGCAGGAATTAAGGTAACTATAACTTTGCAAATGTTAGTACTCCAGGAGTCACAGTTTTGGTTTTTATAGGCTTCCCTTGTCTCTTCCCTTTTACCAACTTTGATGGTTATAACTCTGTTCCTATTCTCCTGCAGTGATCAGCTTCCAAACACAGCAGGGAATAGCTGTGGGAAATAAGAGGTCTTGCCTTCTTTTCCCTTTCTGATTGGTTTTCATGGAAATGTGGATTTATATGTGAGCTATAGGTATATGCACAGCAAAAAATTTTCCAATGTGTAGTGAGATGTATAGTAACAAAATAAAGTGAATAAAATGCGTGGATCGGGAAGGAGGCTGGGCCATCCCTGTGGCCTTAGGCCTAAGGGTTTTGGAAAATTCTTGTCAGACCGTCCTTTTCATCTTTGGTTTTCTTTGGCCAGGGAGAACCTGGAGAATCTGGTCGTCCAGGGCAAAAGGTAATAATATCTCTCTCTCTAGTGTGTTCTTACTGTATCGTAATCACCATTTTATAGCTACTGGCTACTGTGTAATATGAAAACAATTATTGCAAAATGATGCAGTTTTCATGCTGTGCATACAGAGTGTTATCGTTTTGCATTTTAGAAGTTCTTAAAGTTGACCGTAGCAAAATGTGCAAACTTTGTATATGTAAAAGGATGCTGTATGAACCTAAGTCTGCATATACTCAGCTGTTCGAAACTAACAAAAATCGGTTGGGTTGGAATGTCAACTTATGTTGCATGCTTAAAGATAATCTGCATGTTACTTTAAGAAGGTATGGAATGAATATTTGCTAAATTGTCTCAATAGAGAATGATGGACAGTTCTTTAAAAATTATATTCCTTTTTCTTTCATTGAAAATGCTTCCCTACTGATAATTTTTTATGTGAATCATATCTAACTGTGCCATATTATATTATATAAACTAAATTTGTTAATAAACTAAATTTTAACTAGAGACATTAGCCATACCACTTTAACTAACCAATCTATGGATATGTTAATATTTTTATAATTTGTGCTTCACTTCAGAAATAAATTAGAAGACATGCAGTGAATATGTTTCGATTCACATTCTCACTGAGTCTGAGGCAGGAAACAAATGTTAGCAGGGTATTGTCCGAGCATGTGGATGTCAGTGCCCAGGGCAGTCAGACTGTAGATAACAGATGTATGTAGCTAACAAGAAATGTGAATTCCACATTAGGCTAACTCGCTTAAGATTATGACTCTGCCTTTGTCTAGCAGAAGCTGGTATTATAGACAAAAGCATGAATAGAAACATAGAAGTCACCTCATTAGCAGAAAGGGGAAGAAGGAATAAATGCCATTAGAGTAGTTTAGAACCTTAAGACATAGTAAAATAATATTCCCACCTTCTTGAAATCATTGAGAGGATCATTGCTTTGTCTTAAATACTTGGGATGGACATAATTTTTGAGAAAGTCTTTCACATTCTTTTAACATTTTTCTCTTGAAACTAAAAGTCTAAGAGTAATGACGCACCAGGCCCGGTATCCAATAAAGTTAAGGCTTTTTTAAAGAGCCCAGAAAAACTCTGCAAATTTTACTATTTAATTTCTAAGATTTCCTGCTGATTTTTCATTTTAAAAATATGGAATTAGTGATATAGTTGGAGACACATGGTCTGCATTGGTTTGAAAAAGCAACTAATCTTCTAATTTTAAGTCCCTTAGTCTTTAAAATTTAAAGGCTAAGTTTAAACTGCTCTCAAAATGTGTGACTTACCAAAAAAAAAAAAAATGTCTGCAAGACTATTGTGTCCCTAAAAAACAAACCAAAACAAATTTGCTATAATCTCGTAGAGTTTCCACTGTTTTCAGAGTGGAATATCCAAATGAATTTCCAATTGTATAGTAAAACATTGTCTTATCATGATGATTATTTAGAAATACAATTTAGACTCATTCTGGAAGTATTATACATAGGTTTACACATGGAAACATTGGACTTCTTTTTCATTTCATTAAAAATCAGTTTCAAGTTACATTGAGAGAAGGGGTGGATTCGTTAAAAGCTTACAACCCATCTGAATGTGCCCTGACATGAACATCATCTTTTTTCATTGATATTTATGCCAGCTTCTACCCTTCAACTCAGTCTCACCTGCACACAATATATGACTTCCTTTGTCTAATACTGGGATTTGGCAATACTTATCCTGACATTGGCTTAAAAGTAAAGTATTTCCTTGCTTGCTGCTTCTGTAGACTAGAAAAATGACAAACCGAAGTGAGTACAGAATCAATTGAAGAGATCTTCCATGGCATTTTTCTCACCATTGCAGAACGGTGCTGTGAGTTCATTGGCACTTACACTCCTGCGTTAGGGCCACTCCAGAAAAGTATAGGGTATCATGACACAGTAAAAAGCTCACTGGTTAGCTTTCCACTGGGTAGTCTTTTCCAGCATCAAAGTTTGATATCTAAAGTAATATTCATAATGTAGAGATGACTTCATTGGATTTTCTTTCTTTTATAGCCTCAACAGTAGAGTATGTGATTGATGTGTGAGTTGGAGAGCATGTATATGCTTATAGGGTGTATAGATTTATTAAATAGGTATTGTGTTTCATCGCCTAATTCTTTCCTTTCTAATTCTTCCCTATCTTTTAAAAATATATATAGTTTTTCATTTTAAAGGAGTAAAATTACTTGGTCCCCCATCAGAAGGGACCCTCACAATTGAACTCTCTCTAAGAGAACAAGGCTCGTAGCAGGGATGTGAGGTGAAAGCAGAGTCCTGATTTTGAAGGTCTCCCATAATGGAAAGTAAAGAGTGAAAGGGAAAGAAATAAAAATCAAACGAATAATGTATCAGTATAAAGTTTAATCTGCTTGGACAAATACTCTTTGAATGGGATGCCAAGACAATCAAGATTATAAAATATGAATTTCTGAAATATTTGTTCACTAAAAAATACCTTTATGGACCAATGTGATGGCTCATGCCTATAATTTCAGGTACTTGGGTGACTGAGGCAAGAGGATCACTGAGCCCAGGAGTGTGAGGTTGCAGTGAGCTGTGATGACACCACTGCACTCTAGCCCTGGCAACAGAGCGAGACCCTGTCTCAAAAAAAAAAAAAAAAAAAAGAAAAATTTATGACCTAACACACATAGATACATATATACACATATGATGTAGGGAAAAGCTAAATGCTCAAAGTCTCTGTAAATATTCAGTCTATACTGTAAACTATTTCTTAATATCTTTAGATCTTTCTCATTGTTAGAAAACATGTGGGGGGGTGTGTGTGTGTATAAATATCTTTCTTTAAAGTAGTGACACAATCTTTTAATTTGGTGGGAGGGAAAGGTGTGATGAGAACTCCTGGTGGAAAAGAATGTTAGGACCTATATGTTTCCACTAATGTATCAAATAGGATGTCTCCAAAATGAGTTTGGGGAGACTTCTCTAAAACAGTACAAGGCTATAGATTTGTCATCAATATGTTTACTTTCACTGGTTGCATATTCTACTGCAACTTACTGTTTTCAAGAGCCTTATAGTTTTTAAAAGTAAAAGAGAATTTTCAGTAAAATATGCATACAAGCCCTTTTTACTAGATCTTCTTAAATTTATTGATTAAAGGGTGAAAAGGAAAGAAAAAATCAAATGTATAATGTTATATCTAGGTAAAATTTAACTTACTCAGACACGTATTCTTTTAATAGAATAACAAGTTCTTAATAATTATCCTTTCTTCTCTGGCTTAATCTCATTTTAGTCTTATTGTTCACAATGCAAACTTTCATTTATATAGTTTCAGACAGAATAGTTTTTCTTTTGCATTCCTGAAGTACCTTTTACCTAAATCATCAAGAAAGTCATTATACTTTTTTTGGTATCATCAAACAGCTTAACAGCATCAGAAGTCATTTTGTGATAATACCAGAGCGAATTATAGCTCTTCATAATCTGAAAGTAATAGTATTGAAGATGGAATGTCTGGTTGTTCTTAGCAGACTTTCCTTGGAATGAGGATTGTCGAAGCATTTAGATTAAAAGAAATACTATTTTCTACCATTTCATTGTTAGCTTGATGCTCCTATATCTTTCATTGTACAGGGTATCCCAAAAGTCACCATACATAGGGAAAATGGGAAATTGTAGCTAAATGTACCTTTATTTACAAAATATTAATTACAAAATTTTACAGAATATTTCCTTTGTATGGAGACTTTTGGAACACCCTGTAGTACAGTTGTTGTCCCACTGACTGACCATCATGAAATGGTATGACCGTTTTACCTTTAAATGTTATTTCCACAAATAATAGTCACTTCAATCCAACACAGAGAGGACTTTTTATTTTCTCCTGAGATTCCTTTATACTTTTTTAGTAGAATTCAGGAGATTTTTCTAAGCAATGTAACCTCTTGTCATCATTCTTTGTGCTTAAAATAATGTAGACAATTCTGTGAAAATGAGAAGGTTAAGCTTGACTCCAATGTGCTCACCCCAAATGTACCACTTAATCTCAAACCTGTATTCAGGAACAGCTGCGGGGTACCATTAACCCTAAGCTGCTAAGCAGGGTTGCCCAGACTCAACAATTGTCAGAAATACAGGCTGGAATTAAGTATAATCTTAACCATTTATTTATCTTCTCACCATTCAGGAATGGAAAGGAAAGCTTACTACACTTTTAAGTGAGCAAGATTTTTAACCTATGTTGTTTTGATGTGACCATCTGTTCATACAGCCAACTCTTGATTATCCGAGGTGAGAGAGTATTGGAACAGGAAGCATTGTTGAAATGCACACATAATCCTTATTTCGGCCAATAGCTTCAGCCTCCCCAACATATCATTTACAGAAGGAATAATAAAATATGGGAGTTTTTTCTCCTTTTACTCCTCTTTCTTGCCTTTTGTTAGAGATGCCAATGAGCAGGGAACTGTCAGGAAGAGGGAAAAAAATTCTGAAAAATCTGCAAAGTGGTCAACCAATTCCTGAATCAAGAGTTGACTGAATTATATAATTTCACGAAACTTTTTGCGAGTAGACAGTTTTTAAAAAATATTTATATATGCAGAAAGTATTAAGCTAGGAACATTTGCCATGTGTTTCTCCAGATTTGTGACGGAGTGAATATCATTCTATAATGCTATGTGATTTTCCTGTGTAGGGTGAACCAGGGCTTCCTGGGCTTCCTGGACTTCCGGGGATAAAGGTAAATACTGCACTGATAGTCTTGGTTTCATGGAACTGTAATTATGAGATTCACTCAAATCGGAGGAAAATAGGAAACAATGAAAACTAAAAATATAATACTGTTCTTTAAATATTCTCCAACCATCTTAACTGACTATATTTTTTAATTAAAAATGAAGTACAGATATTGCTAAAGTTTGCCATAGGTATCTGGACTGTATCTTCTGCCATTAAACTTACTATGCCCCTTAAATAAATGTAAATGCCACTTCATTTGAAGTTATAAGAATTCTTTGAAGTCTAGAATGTTTCTTTACCTTCACATTTTAATTTTATTCTTAAGCCCCTATCAGATTTTGACCAGAATTAGAATCTTAACATCCCCATAAATCTAACATTTAGGCAGCTGTTTTTGTGATTCACTCATTAAAATAATCCCTCTAAAGCGTTTGTGCTTCCACTTCCTCTCAGTAATTCTCACTACAAAGTACAAATCATATTACGAAGATATTTTGACCCAACACATATACTGTTCCCATAGACTTTCTAACTATCTTTTGAAATAATTGCTTAAAGCTTAGTTTGGAAACATTGTTTTAAATGATTTAAAAATCAGTTTAAAATGTTAAAAAGGTTTTTTAAAATTGTTAAAAAATTTTTACATGGCAACTAACAAGGCTTAAAGTTATACTGCCTTAGCTGTAGCTCCTCTTTTAAAATCAACTTCTTGTTTTTAAATTGTTTTTATATATTCTAGAACTACTTGATAGGATAACATTATACAAATACATTTGTCCTTACATTTTTCTCATCTTACAAAGTTTTGAATCAATCTCTATCTTGCATTAGTCTATTCTAAAATTAATATCTCTGCTTCCAATGTTGTGTCTGTTTTATGAAGGTTCTGCTTAGAGTGGGCGTTAAATGAAATAGTATGATTTTAGAATAAAAATGTTAAGTTATTGAGTTCCCAGAGATTATATGGTATCCTAGAAAATATTTTAAGAGTATATTTGATATAATTATTAAACACAAAAGCGATGTCTTTCAGGTTGGCACTCAGAAGTTTTTGTTCTGGCTTTTTGTTTGATGTTTCCAGATTAGTATCATAAAAGTTCAGATATGTCCGTTGAATATATTTTTAGTCTTTGGCTTCTTTGGTGAAAAAGTACACTCCATGATAACAGTTTGCTAATGAGTCCAAGTCACTTTCTAATCATTTGCTATTTAGTAGGAATTACTTCATAAATTAATACATGATTTCAAATTGTAGAGTTGATTTATGGCAGTTACTTAGTAACTTCCACACATTAAAAAAAAGGATAACTTTTTACAAATGATTGGAAGGTCATAAAATTTTAGAACAAATTTAAGAAAGTCATATTCAGCATTAATTTAAAAGAACCTGGTAGCGTTAGAAATCAGTGGGGAGGCATTTAAAAGGAGGGGTATTTGGAAGGGCTGGGGCAGAGTTTCCTGCAGCAAATGCTTGTAGGTCAGCCGGGCTGTGCTGCCAGCGCCAGCTCATCGCACAGGAACCTCAGCGCTTTGAAATCCAGTTGTTCCTTCTCCTGAGCTTGACACGCTTTCTTAGTACAAAGTACAACAGCATGAAGGAATCAGTTCTTTCTCTCCAAAGCAAAAAAAAAATACACACACACACACACACATATATACGATTTCAATTGCTAGTATATGTTATCGATATCTTACTTTAATCTTATGTCCTTCACCGTGAAAAATATCCCACTGGACCCTTGGCATCTGCCTAGTTAGTTGTCTGTGGACCAGTCTGAATGTTATGAAATTTTTCAAATTGGGAAGGATGTTAGTGATTTGCCACCTCTAGTAAATGCTTTTATTCTTAGAGTCACGGGAAATTGCCAGATATATTTTGTCAAGGTCATTTAGCTCTGATATTTTCTTTTGTTTTTCTATCCCTGACTAGTAACTGTAGTGAAAAGAAGTTATCAATTGACAGAAACCCTTTTCGTCATTCACTAGAAATATTTTTCTATGTAATTGTCAAGTACTGTTGGGTAACTATCTGGTATTTGATTTATATCATAGGTTCTACTTTTGGCTCAGTGAGCTTTGTCTTCCCCCTCTAATTCAGGGTATGGAGATATGCTTTCCTTAAAATGCAATGGGTAATCAATATAAATAATTAATTTTGAAAAGGAGACAATTTTAAGACATATCACAGTCATTGGTGGTCATTGGATATTTATAAATGTAGAGTTAAGAGTTTATAATTTTATGATACAGTTTCATTAACTTGGAATGTTCTTTATTCCTTTAATTTACCTCCCTTCCATTAGGTAGCCATGATTTTGTAGTTTGAATGAGTAACAGTATTTAAGAGCTGAAACCGCCATGTATGGATAAAGAATGTGTGGTGGCAAGACGATTAGTCATAACTTCCTAGACCTGAGTGTTTGTTTATGCTTTGGAAATACTTCCTGCTGCTGTTCATCTCCTTCTTATCTGCTGGTACTACAGAGAGCGTGCAAATGCCATCCGTTATTTCCAAGACTTTGAGGAAACCAGCCACGACATACCAGGGAAGCTTTGATTCACCACCTGTTGCTCTCGGGGAATGGTTGGAAACTTAATGAGCATCCACATGCCTTCCGTAACGCTCAGGAAATGAGCAAAGTACCTAAATACAGACAGCAGACTCATCTATCTACCACCTCGGGTCCCACTCAGAGAAAAGTGCTAATACCTTAGGCATACATAATAAAAGTCACTAAGAACAGGCATAACAATTTCAAACTACTCATAAGCTTCCTTGCAGAAGTATTCCAAAGCCCTCTGACCATATGGAAGACATTTGGAATTCCTATTTCATGCATTCATGGTTCATATAGTGTCAAGATGTTCAACTGGGAAAATTAAATTATGTACAATGTACCATGCAGACATTGATCTTCTGGAATAAGATTTGAACTCAGAAAATTAGTTTTTTAAACAGGTCTTCAAATATTTTTAATGGGCAAAAATTATTATAATCAGCTTTTTGGATATCACATAAAAGGATAAGACTCTAAGTTCCTATTTTTTAAAATATCGCTCTCTATACTTGTTTTGAAGAATGTAAATACACTACTTACCCCTTTCTATAGTCACATTGCCCTAGTATTTAAGCAGTGTAAGGCAGTGACTTCAGGACAGGCTGCCAGTGTGCTCTACTCCTCGTCAGTGCTAGGACATGGGGCAAGTCCTATAACTTCTCTGTGCTTCAGTTTCCCCATAAAGTGGGGATCATCACTGAACAGAAGTCAGAGGGTTGTTGTGAGAGTTAAATGAATTAATATACGTACAGCTCTTAAAATATTGCCAAGCATATAGTAAATGCTATATAAACTTTGGCTATTGTTATTTCTTTCTCCTGGGGCAGTTCAGAATATTGGAAACATCGGTTACGCACCTGTTCTCTATTTCCTCATGTGAGTAATTTTAACCTGTGGAACATGAAGCCATTTATGCTCTACAGGTTAATAGATGTAAATTCTGAAGACTGCTTTGCAGTGATGGGTGAACGTTATCTTTAAGAGCAGTAAGATCATGTGTTTTTTCTTGAAATGTAACATCACACTATATCCCTTTCCTATTACCCAAATGTATTTCAGACACAAAGGATGAATGAACACAATTTTCTGGGCGTAAGACAAGGCACTGTTGAAGTTCTCCTGCCTGACATTGTTCACGGGAAAAGCAAAAAGAAAACTTGACATATAATGATGGAAATTCTCCAGGTCCCAGTCAGTGTTGCCTAACCCAATACATTTTTCATGAGTATAGATTTTCAGTGCTTGCTTTTCTCCTTTGAGTATATACCACCAGTTTCTCTCACCATAATTCACAAAGTAAACTAGAAAAAAATAATGGAGTAAGGGAGACATAATATGGTAAAAATTACATCAAATCATTTAGGTGGCAAAGAAATTTTCACAGGATAGCTTGCTTCAAAGCTTGGGGTTTTTGTTCTGGCTTCCACATGACTGGAAGTTTGACATTCAGATCAAGAACCTGAGGACTGGGAGGGTATGAGACAGTCACTAACTCTTTAAACCTCGTCATATGAAATCATCCTTGACACTAAATCATATAAAGACTAACTTTTACAGGTGGCAGGAACATTTACTTTGGCATTCTTAGGATTAGGTCTAGTGTTCAGTAATCGAATAGAGACTTACCTTCTAAATCCACTAGAGATGCGGTTCCTTCCTCAGAAACATCAAATCTCATTTTAAAAATAGCAGAGGAAAACTTTCAGAAGTAACATAGGATGTGAAATGAATTCCTAAAAGAGAAAAAGAAAAAGGAGAAATACTGATTGAAAGAATAACATTGTGTTATTGTTACTTATAATTATTTCCTGCTCACTCAAAGTCCATCTGAGAAGTTGAGTAATTTGAGCCCAATTAGGAAACTCATACAACCAGAACCCAGAGATTTTTAGCAACCGTAATGAAACCTCCAATAAATACAGCGAATGGGCTTTCATGATGTAATCCTGTTAAGAAAAAAAAAAATCAGAAAGGTATGTTTTCTGGATTTTAAATAAACCTGCTATTGTAGTTCATTTTCATGAGAGCCACCAAGATGTTTAATTTATACTCAAATTTGATCCTTAAGGGAAATAAGTGTTTTGGGGGCAGACTCTACTTTCTCATTCTTTTTTCTCTTCCATAGTTTTACAAATCAATCATTACCGAAACTGGCTGCCTGGAAATTCTTCTTACAACAAATGTTCTTGCTGTAATCCTCAAAAGCAGGTATCATGCTGACTTGAATTCTAATTAGCCTTCAAGCAATAAGAATCTTGTATGGCTAATGCATTCAGTGTCAAGACACATTAATCAAAATTATTGGTGATGCTTTTAGCACCCAGGCAAATCAGCACATTTTTTTCAAGCCCTGTTGTACTATTTATTGGGCAATGAAAATTGGATCTGCTTGGGGATAATAAATATCATGGAAAACATGACTTGGTTTAAGCGGTATATTAGA